TTTAAGAGTTGAAAATGGTTATTTTGCATTATGCATCTCATTAGATATTTGTATAAATGTATACTACAACGTTTCTGCAATCGAGTATATATATATATATAGCTGATTCAACCCTTTACTGGATATTTCATGAAGTCCAAAAGTTTCAAAGTTTCGTGTTATGCTCATAAGCAGATGATGTAAGACAATTGATAAACTAAACTATTGATCTGCTAAGATCTTTTGTGAGTATAAGCGAGTGAGCGAGAGGCACATTTGCATATTCAGACCCATCACAATAACTCATTTCTATGCTTCCCGTATCCATGCAATGCATTGAATAGAGGCTTTGCACCATCACGTGATGGCAGCCATGATGGGAGGCACAGCAACAGAGTCTTTCTTTCCTGGGAAAATAAATCATTTCTCATTTACATCAAATCAGACCAGATTCAATTGCTCCTGCCTCCTGTCCTGACTTCCATCCCGTGATAGTGCAAAGCCCCTGTAGGTACAGCTGTAGATAAACTGCTGTACAATGGTTTTATTGAATACATGATAATGTCAGCTACTAAACTTACTTTTCATGAGTGGTATTTCCACAAGCACACATTGCTAAAGAAACAATAAGTACTATAATTCCAGCAACAGCCACCAGTACAGGGGTAGCTAATGAAAAATCCTTGTTGTGTACACTGTTCTCGATCTTAAAACTGAGGAGTTTGCGTCTCTGAGTTTTCCAAGAAGATTGAGTGAAACGTTTCTTGATAGTATCTAAATATGTTTAAAATGGAAGTTATTGCATGTAAATGTGAAGAACACATACATCTGCAGTTTTATTACATGATTAGCACTTGCTAAGTGTACAGTAAGGGACCGTTTATAATTTATGACTTGGGGGCTATGTTGATAATTTCTGAGCAACATCTTTCAGAGAAGTATGTTGTTGGTAATATCTTCAGGTTCATAACACTTATTCACTGAAAACATGTTAAATCCAACATTCCACCAAGTGTATCTGCAGCATTTGTTTTGAAAACTAAGCTTAAGGAAGTGAATAGGAAAAACTTTGAAATCTGACATGTGAAACTTTGTCACTTGATGTCAAACTAAAACATGTTTTGCACGTGTGTGAGGCATAGATGCAATCAATGGTATATGCTTTCTAAATAATTATTGTACGTCCTGATCATGATGCAATAAGGTTATCTGTTAGTGTTATAAAATTTAAGTTAATTAAAACTCAGAAATTTCAATAGGAAGTACCAACTGAATATGTTTGATTGACACGGCAAAAAAACAAATTCCACTGATGTGCCAAATTTCATTGATGTGCAGTTTACAATTACCGAGTTCCAAAATATCTATCTAAAACTTCAGTAAGAATATGACTACCTCAAGAGTACTATATTTATGGAACCACCTTAAATTATGATGGGCCCATCCTAAGGTAATTTGAGAGTTTGAAAGGCTGCACTGTAGTGACCCAATGGTATATCCGGTTGTAACCCCCCCCCCTCCCCCTCTGACAATGACAACTCAACCATGGAACCCCCAGTATGTTCTAAGACACCCCTAGTCTGTAATATGACGACACCCATGTTTGTTTGACATTTACAGATATAAATAGTCATTCAATGCATAGTTGCAGGGCTTGAGTGTTTAAAAAAAAAATGTAAATCAGTAGACAACAAAAATATTGATATGTATTTAAAGATCAAGTTAAACGAATAAAATGCCTTCCTTAGAAGCCAAATTTGCTCTTAGAGTTACCCATGTATGTAAAACCAGCTTGGATTAGGGTTAGTGTCTAGGGGTAGGGTTAGGGTTATTTTCCAAAAATGTTTACTGTATCATACATGTAGCTTGAATGTTTACTGTAGTACAGACTGGGTGCATCATGGTATGAACTGGGGCTTTATGGTAGTACAAACTGGTTTAGTTATGATATTTACTGGGGACGTCATTTAGTATATACTGGGGGCATTATGATATATACTGTGGGTGTCATGACCATAATTCGACCCAACCATTACATCAACCAGTCACTAAAATTACAAATATAAGCTTAAATAAAATTAAGTATATAGCTGAAACAATTACTGATAGTATATGAGGTATTTTTTGGATTAAAGAATGATGCTTTGATATGCATATATGCTGCATTTTGGAGATAAAATATAACATTCACGAGATATATATTGTGATCTTCAAAGCAATGTGCCAGTGCTTGTCTGTAGTAACATGAAACTACATAAGCTTATCGTGACAGTCATTAAGTGAACTGTCCATTTGAATATAAGTAAAAACAAGGATACTTCTGTCTTATGTTTTTCTTCGTTGAGGTTTGCATGAATAATTAGATAATGGAAATTTTAGATTCTATTGTATGTTTTATAATAAAATTATTCGACAAGATGGATGCATCTGATTGTGGTGCTGAGAATAGTAATATTATAAAACATGAATCAAAGAATCCATGAACTAAATAATAAGAATCACGAGAGGTAATAAATATCCCAATACAGACAATTACCGTGAAAAACTACTATCAATAAATATATGCATTCATGCATAGATGCTAATGATTTTTAACTTCAAAACTTACCAGCTGAAAGCAAAGCACAGCGTCTTCCATAACAGTCTAGTTCAACAAGAACAAAGACTTCATCTACTGGAAGATGTTTAAAATCACGATGTTTTAAAATCACCTGATAGACGAGGAAGTTAAAGCTTTAGACAACTAACATAAAATCCATTGTTTTAATTCATGAAAATGTTGACATTCGTACATTTTTTCTGACAATTTTCGGAAAAAATACATGACTCTAGGAATGCATAACCAAATAAATGGATCATTTTACTCAAAATAAAAGCGAATCAGTATATCTGTGAATACAGTAAAGTAGTAGGAGTTTCTCATTTGAATCAGCAGTCATTTAGCGTTGTTTCATAATTGTAATTCACCGTCAAAATAAACTTCGACAAACAAAGTTTTTGCATACCTCAAGTTTAGCGTTGTGTTTCTTTGTCACAATACGTGTGAAAAATCTTGTTTTTAGAGGGATTTTTCCATGAAATCCTCTTAGTATTTTCACTGAACGGACTCTGCAGTCAAGTGGTGAGAAATCGGGATGACTATTGCCATGTTTAAAGATCTCCAAGCTTTGGTATCCAGTGAAGAAGACGGGTTTTGTATTGAAACGGAGGGTTAGATTGCAGCTTTTACTTCCGCTCTTTGAATCCCTGATTTCTACGCTTCCAGTTATTTTGATCAAACTTCCCACTAAAATCCAATGGAACAAATCATTTCCCATGTTGGAGCTGAATCCGTAATCCTCTACAGCCTAAGTGTCATCCAAACAAGAGCATTTCTTTATCCCAATATTGTTTCAGCTCCAACACACCTCAACTGAGGAAATTTCCCATCAGGCATTTGGGCTCGGACCGGAAGTCTAGTGTATTTCCGGTTCGACACAACAGACGGTCAGCAATCAGCAATGAACTCTTAATCGACCACACATCGACCACTTCTTTTTTGTTCCTCCTTTCGCATCTCCTTTCTAATCTTTTGTTAAAATACCGCTCCCAAAATTTCATTTTTCTAACAGTTGTAAATCTACATTTATTTTTTCTACAACCTCAGAATTTATCAGAATTTGAATGCATATATATGTGCCCTTTTGCAAGAACGGTTGTCATACGAAAATAGAATATTTGTACTTTAGTAGGAAAGGAATTAATTAAAAGACAAAAGGAGATCACTGAACTAGTATGACAACGTTCTTGCGCAGATATATATATTTCGATAATTATTGGCCAAAGTTATAATGATAATATGAGGAAATAAAATAAATCAAAGGAAAAAATACGAACATCGCAAACTGAAATAATCCAGACGAGAGGAAAAATAAGCAGGAAAAGTAGAAGAAAAAAAGAAAGAAAGGAAGGAAGAAAAAAAGAAAAGAATGAATGAAAGAATGAAAGAATGAAAGAAAGAAAGAAAGAAA